TTTCTCCTTCTCAAAAGATCAAGATTCTTTAGCTTTATCAACCTACCTCTTTTATTTTTTCCGAGTTTTAAAACATTCTTTTTTTTTTTTAATGCTACAACAAGTAACAAAATCTATCTAAGTGCCCTTTCGGTGTACCAAAAGACAGGCAAAAAATAAATAAAAAAATGTAGTTTAACTCTAAATACCATTGATTTTAGTTCATATTCAAATTTTATCGATTTTAGTTTTCTTTATTGAAAAGGGAAAAGAGGGGGAAAACACATATACCACTTACATATAAATCGATTCATACTAAAATTTTAAGCTTGAAAAAAAATGTAAATTCAATTTAAAAATAAAAAAATAATAATAATAACTTTAAAAAATTCAAAATATAATTTGACAAAAAACGTTAATAATAATCACGGTACATGATTCTTAATGGCTTAATCAATGGTATTAACGGGCAGTGATTTTAATTAAATCTGTGCTAACGGAAGTAATATACATTTAATTTTGATAATTAGTTAAATTCGAACCGCTTTTCGATAACCGAATGCTTATTTATTTTAAGTTTTAACCGTTATTTAACTATATTTTTACATAAATAAATGATACGAGTTTTTTAAACGATATTTTTAAAGAATAATAATAAAGAAAATTCTGTTTGAAAACGTTTAAATGTGTATTTTTAATGCGACTTACCATTTAATTTAATTACCGGTTATCATCGGAACTAAACAATTACGAATCTTCCTCAAGGTCCACAGGGTATTCCTGAAAATGACATCATAGAATCCCGTAACAAAAATCGATATCGATGTTTACTAAAGGAAAAATCGATTATCGACAGCGACTTATTTGTGCGTACTATACGATCTCTGTTATATAAATCAGGATTAAAATTTCAATAGATTTACCCTAATTAATATTAAAATTTTGATTAATTTTCTTAAGTAAAATTAAATTTTTTTATTTTTATTTTTCCTTCATGTTCAAGAGAGTAACTTCGATCGGAATAAATAAACAAATAAATGTAAAAAAAAGGTGTGTAAGTTTTATTTGCATTCGATCATTGTTCGCCAATGGAACGAATCAGTTGAAAGCAATCTTCTTTCCTAAACTCCCGGTGAATGTTTTCTTTCAACACTGCCAAATTATGTCCTCTAGGGAACAACAAAAAGACAAAACTTCACCTCCAAGTTGATCAGTTGAAAGTATTCCGGACTTAAGTGGTAATTCAATTTGGTTCGGATAAACACATTTTTTTTTTTCCTTTCTTGCCAAAATAAGACTACGTGGTGCCATCTGTTGGATTCTACTCGTTTAACCACTCCTCTTAACGAATCATTGTTATACTTGAAAAATGTATAATGTTATGAAGCGTGAGGAGCCTTATATATACTATTTAAAAATTCATCTGGGCGAAAACAATAAGGAAATTGATGACCTAACTCGAGCGTGACGTCGAGTGACTAAAGAATCGATTGTGACCAGCGAGTCACCTTCCTAATCTGGATCGATCACGAAGCCATCTATAAATCCTCCACGAACCATGTATGATATGCCATATTCTATAAACATATCCAAGCATTTATCTGTGAAGAAAGTTTAATTTTTTTTTCCTTTCTTTCTCTCTTTCCTGTGACCCCTTTTTAATATATTTTTATAAGAGAAATACGCGTAACGAGCTTGTTTGTTTGTGTAACCATCTTTTGATCCTAACTTCTTAATTTAATTAATTTTTCACGCTCTTTTTAATAAGTACAGTAGGTAGCGAGAACCTAATAAAATCATTCTCGGCGCAATAGAAAGTAAAAGAAACACAATTACGCCACAAAAGATGAACTGCCTCCAACGTCTTTCTGCTACTCCCACTTAAAAGTAATCACTTCTACGCTTGTGTTGACCACGTGATCTGTGTGTTTCCTTTTCTTCTCCGCTTGCTGTCGTTCTTCGGGTGAGGTGAACAGTCTGACAATGAGAGTGGAAAACGGTGTCACTGACCTATTCATTGCCGGGTTTCGAGCACGGTAACCATGGAAACGTGATTCGTCCCACCTCTTGGGAGGGGTAGGATGGACAAGGAGGGAACGACAGCGTGGAAAAGCAAGAAGAAGAAGAAAAAGAAGAAGAAAAATAATAATAATAATGAAAAAAAAGACCATATTAACGAAACATTTCGTTCTGCTGTTTATTTTTAAATAAAGTTCTACTTAAATTATGGTGCAGTAACATGTGTATAATTTGATAAATACTTAATAATTAATGTGTCGAGAATATTGAATGTCGTGAAAGAGTATTTATTTTCTCTATCGGAACTTTTTAGTTAACAATTGAGCACTGATTAGTTTCGATTGTATGGAAAATTTCTTCATTATTATTTACACAAAGAATTGATTCAATTATAGCTTTTCAATAATAACAATTTCTCCATTATATTTCTCTAAAAATATGTTTTCCAAGAACAATTTACTTATCTTACCCAATTTCTCTCAAATATCTTATTATTATACTTGAAAATGTTCTAAATTTCTTTACTTTTTTTTCTTTTTTTTCACATTTCGGCTGAAGATGTGTTAATTTTTTAATTCTACCAATGAAAAGAAACTTAAGATTAATTTAAAAAATGACGTTTTAGATTTATTTATTAATGTTTGTCTACATGCCGGGAAACATTTTTGGAGTTTAAACGTCTGTTCGAGGGTCGGGAAGATCGCTTTTCTATAAATCACGTGTCACGAAATCTGTTCTGTAGGAAAACGAAGCTTCCGTGTTGATTGTATACGAGGAGCGAAAAACTGCTACGAATTTCGCGAAATGTAAACACTCAGTGAGAAAAATATATAGAATTATGGTTATTTTGTATGTCGTTGATACTTTGCTATTGTAACAAGCGTTGATACTTTATCAAAGAACAAAATGGATTATATCTCCAACTGCTTATTTTAAACAAAAGCGAAATGAATCATCCTGATGTATACTAGCTTGTTTCAAAGTATTTTAAACATTATTCTACAAAAGAATAAGGATAATTTAAATATATTTGAGTAAAGAAAAACGTGTAATCACGAATTTAAAAGCCATAGAAAATCAATTTTAATACTATTTTTTTTTTCTTTTTTTTTTAAATAAAACATCGATATCGGTAGAAAATACAGCATAACTTGAAAAAAATGTAGACATAATACATTTTAAAATATATATTTTTTAAAGAAAATCAATTTTAACGTCTAGCGAGAGTAGAAATTTAAATATTTTGGTGTGAAAAACAGCAATAGGTGAGCTCTAGAAAATCATTTTAGGGCGCTCCGTTAGAACATTGAACGATACAGTTAGGATAAATAAATTAGCGTCAATAAGTTGGAGTAGAAGATGGAGTCGGTTGATTAGAGAAAGAATTACTTCAAGTAGATGGTTAGGATTGATTTAGAAGTCCTTGGCTTCTTCACATAAGTTTATTTTTTCTAATCTGACTGAAGGCTTAACAAGTGGCTAGTAGTATATTACCCTATTTTGTTATATTTATTCCATAAATACCATTTAGAATTTAGTTTTGCGCGTATATTTACGTGTAGAAACAAAATTTAAAAAAGAAATTTTTAATTATATATATATATATATACCGTTTTAGCTTATAGTTTATTCTTCCTCCATAAAAGAATTCAATTAAATTTTCATACCAGATTTTATATATTCTACACCTATATCTATGTAATTAATGATTTAGAACGAGTGTCGAGTAGTACTTTTATATTATAGCTTCCTGATTTCGTGCCACCACGAAACTATGAACATAAATGCTTACAAAAGCTTAGATTCGCAGTACATTATGATTATCTGTACAGCCAATAAAATTCCCAAGTAACGGATATTTAATACGTATTAAACTATTTAATTTTCGCTCCAGTTGCAATGTAAACTATAAATGATGACTTTTTTTTTTTTTTGAGTCGCTAGCAAAACTTATTTACCGTCTTAATGCCGTATTATAAGGATATTGTTGTATGAGTTCTCCGCCGTGTAATTCTTTATATTAATAAATATTAGTTTAATGAGAATAAAAGCCAACATTTTATATATTTTTTTAAAAATAAGCACGTAATTGTTTATATGTATCATTTATAATCTTTTTTTTTTTTTAAATTGGTTATTGCGCAGTTTTAAGCCTCCGAAATCCATTAAATCCGTAAAGTCCATTAAGAATCATGTTTAACCATCTGTAAATAATCATTTTAAATTGAATAAATAAATACATATAAATATATATCTAATTCATTTAGATATTAAAAAATTAAAAAATATAACAAAAATATTATTTTAAATTAAATTTTTAAATATAAGCAATTTTTAAGATAACAAAAGAGGATTCTGCCCTCTAGTGCTGGAAGAAAAAATTACATTATTTCTTTAAAAGATCGGATTACCGATATTAAATATTAATTTATTTAAATATTAAAACTGTGTATTTACGAATTATCTATTTTTAACAATAATAAAGAAGAATTGCGTGTTATTAAATGCTAAACATTAAACGGAAATTTGTAACGACTTTGTGATAAGACCAACACGCCAATAGTTCGGGATATGTCTGACATCTAGCGGAATAAAAGGAAAACAATAAATTGAATTATTATTACAAATTTCTCCTCTATTTTTATATTAAAAAAATATCTATTAATATTTTAAAAACACGTTAATGAAAATTATAATTTAAGCAGAATGGTTAAATTTACATTTTATCGTTTTTTTTTCGATTTTTAGTAACCAGAGGAGACAATTAGAGGATCGTATAGCTTGATTTTTTATGTTACAGATCCCGTTACCATCGATTTCAAAGTAAAAAATATATAATCAATGATAATAATATAAAAATGTACAGTTTAAATAAAACGAAACGACTAAATACATTTAAAATTTCGAAAATTTTAAATCAATTAAGTAGTGTATAAAGCGCCGGCATCGATTTTCTTTCAATAACGACGTCCTTTTGCAGACTTATTTAATGGCTAGGGGCAAAAGCAACCTAAGCTTGCGTGACGTTATCGCGACTGTGTAAAGCGACCCTATTGAAAGAATGAATATTATCTTTGGGGAAGTAAATCCCGTGACCAGAGAACAGTTACTCGATCCGACAATATTTTTCTCCTCGGGCTCTCCCGACTTTACAACAGATTACAGTGAATGAAATTTCAAACTGGTATACGATTGGTCTATTCTTATGTATTCATTGGTCGACAACTATCCCTGTCCGTTTTATAGCGTGCTAACAGTCTCTTTCTATTTAGAATTAACATGAATGACATTGACGTCATTTCAGATTATCCTAACGAGGATCAGAAAGATGTGATGGAATCGAACCCTTTCTTGCCCTGCACTCATTATATTATTGGAGTTTATTTACTCGTAATAGGTAAGAATAGGCTTTAGATTAAAATATCAGTAATTTTGTAACATTTAAGATTTCTATAAGTGGAAGAATTAATGAACAAAAATTTTAAGCGGAAAAAAGAAAGAAAAAAAAAATGTTATTAGTGTTTTATAATACACAAATGGCTCTGCTTCCTTCTTACTTTAAAGCATGTGAACCGATTTAAATTTGTCAAGAGGCTAATGAGTTCCCATAGCTGATCTGTCCTGTTTTATTTCTCTATTTTTTTTTCTAACTTAATTAGTTTTAATACGGAAGTTTGATTAATTCATTTCTTTAATCTCTCACTTGTTCATGTATCTATTCACACGTATAATTTATTTATATTTCGATTTATTTTACATATTAGGAATTCTTGGAACGTTTGGAAATGGGATTATAATAGCTACGTTTTTTCGTTTTCGAATTCTTTTATCACCAACAACAACATTACTGATTAACTTAGCCATTGCAGATCTTGGAATATGTCTGTTTGGTTTTCCTTTCTCCTCCTCGTCCAGTTTTGCAAACAAGTAGGTTCATCTTACTTAATAACTGTCATTCATAAATTGCTTTTTTATATATTTAAATTTATTTTATGATACAGATGGTTATACGGTGATGGCGGATGCCAATGGTATGCGTTTATGGGCTTTTTATTCGGTTCTGCTCATATAGCCACTTTAGTTGCGCTTGGTTTGGATCGTTACTTCGTTCTATGTAACTTGAATACCAGTAAGTCAGTTTTGGAAGTTTTACTCCATAAATATATTTTAAAAAGTCTAATTTTTTTTTGTTTTTGTTTTTTTTCCAGGAAGAAGGTTAATTTTCCGTCGATACTACTTAATGATAATTGTAATCTGGATTTATGCTTTATTCTGGTCGGTTATGCCTCTATTAGGTTGGGGAAGGTAATGATAATTTTATAGAAAAAATAAAATAATAAAATAATTTTCTCGAATATAAACTGTGGATCGTTTCAGATACAATTTGGAACCCAGTTTAACCACCTGCACCATCGATTGGAGGCACAACGATACAAGTTATAAGTCTTTTTTATCGACTTACTTTATTTTTGGATACGTAATACCTTGTATTATCATCGCAACATCGTACTTTATCGCCACAAAACGTATTAAAAGCGATAAGATAACGATTACAGACATCAGTATACCAATACGTGATAGATGGGATAATGAAAGGCATATGACACTGGTAACAATTTTCTGAAAATTTTTAATTTTTCATAATTTAATAAAAACAATTTAATTCATAATTGAAAATAATTGTTTATTTGAGAAAGAAAAACTACAAAATTTTTAATTACCTTTATTTTCGGAACAATATGGATAATGTTTTAACTGAAAATATTTTTAAAAATTATCATAAATGTTTTTAAAGTATTAATATAATTTTAATATACAAAAAAAAATCAATAATTTGACGGAAAATGATTGATTATTCTAGACATAAATATGAATTATATGTAATTAGTCACAATGTAGGAGTTTTTTCATGAAATTGCTCTTCGCGTTCATTGTTATTCCTGGACAAAACAATAACAACGCTAGCATAAAGTTCCTGACATTGATGTTTCATAATCATGTAGTTGTATTAAGTAGACTCAAGAAGGAAAAAAGAGTACATTGTCTGAATTTCTTAATCTATTTAAGCAAAAAAAAAAAAAATCACTTTAATTCGAGTATCAAGTAACTTTGTTCGAGTGAACATATAAATTCTGATTAGATTTGCGTTATTTCATTATTGAGATTTCAAATCTGACTACAACGGTTTTTACACAAAATAATCATGAAATGAGAAGAGAATTTTTATAAATCATATTTTACAAATTATTGGAAAATTTCTGTATAAGCCTATTAGATATAAATAGGATAAATCTTATTATACTATTTTTTTTTATTTGTTTGATGTACTGTACTGCACCTTCTTTAAAATTTTTCTGAATTTACTTTTGATTACAAAAAATAATTCATATAATTCTTAAATAATGGAATTTAAATGGTAACGTTTTGACTACTTACAATTAAAAATATTCGGTTTTCAGCAAACTATAAATAGGAATGAGAGATATAACAAAGTAATATATGAATATGTAGCTTATATATACAAAATACTACATTATACATACACAAACATACTTATTGACTAAAAAGTTGTTTACCAAAGGTGGCGCGTTGGAATCAAATAAAACTTTGTTAGTTGTGAACGTAATGACAATGGTAGTAAGTGATTACAATTTCATAGCAAAGGGACAATTTCCTACAGAACAACAGAACAATTTAAATAAACCTTTATACGTTGTACGACCTCCTTTTGCCTGGATACATACAGCAATATGATCGGGCACGCGGCATATAGGCGCAGATTTGCTATCCTGCGACAGATGTTGCAACTGCCGCTCAGGATCTTTCAAACTCGTAGATAACTGAAGATGGCATCTCTTTTGGTTTCATAAATGATCAATAGGTAACAAATCTGGACACTGGTCAGTTAGGAAGTGTGGCAACAGGACGGATACATTTCTAAGAAACCAAGCTGTTTGCGGCAAAGCATCATCTTGCTAAAAAGTAGCTATGTATGTATGTCTCTTTAATCCGTTCGGTAGACTATTGGAACACGACATAAACCTTTTTAAATGCTTTTTAAGGGAAGAGTATACGCCAAACACTTTAAATATTTTTGTAGTGTTTCTAATGGCTGTATTATAAAATCTTTCCAATGTTACCCGCTATACACCGTGGTTTTAAAAGACAGAATCATAGGTATCGTATAAGTGTGACAATTTTTAAGTATGATAGTTTTATGTCAGTAAATATGACCTACACGCGAGAATTTTGTCATGTTACTAATTGTGTGTTTTAATAATTTGTAGTATTGCACTGAATTTCGAGGGACTTAACATTCATGTAAATCCGAAATGCATATGTGGAAACAATAAAAGAAGTGTTTAACCTAAAAGCTGTAATGATAGTATACCGAACTTAATGTCGGATTAAAGAGACATACCTACATAAATCATAACAGCTACCAAAAGTGATATTTAAAAAGTAGCTGTTTTCATCCCACCATCAAAGGCACACACGAGAGCACAGGATTTCCTGAAAATATCGTTTCGTCTCAATATCCCTCTCACCAGACTAGATATCATACGAGATGGTTCTCCAGACCAGCATGTCAGTAATGAAGCAGTGTGCCGCTCAACAGTAAAGTGAGATTAGAGCTCACAGGGATCCTCCATAGTCCACACTATAACATGTTGATTGTCTGTTTCCAAACAGAATAATGATTCCTCGCTAAAGACAATACGCTGGCCAGTTTGTAGCCATCCATAAGGCTCAGTGCAAACAAAGCCTACGATTTTGAAGTGCTAATAACAAAACCGTAGAGTTCGGTCGCCCATTCATGAAAATCTGTTTCTGTTAATTTCCTGTCAAAACGGAGAGACAGGATTCTTTCTGTCTTTGTTCCTGGACATAGGTATCGTCGTTGCAACTGTACGTTGCAATCACGTTGTCGTGATTATCTGTCTGGATGGTCAGAGCTTGCCTGCCGTATATGTTTCCTGAAGTATTCACTGCCCCAACGCTTTCTCACAGTCAGATTAGAATGGTCCAAATGGTAGCCAATTCGGCGAAACGTCCATCCTGCTTCCCTTAGTCCAATGATGCGACCTTTCAAACACCCGCATCTATGCTTAATCATGTACATGCCTGGCATTCGAATATATCCAAATAACATATTTACCGAGTCTGTAAGCCTTTTCTGTAGGATATTAGGATGTATTAACTGGCATTCAATCGGATTAAAATTGTAATCATTCACATACTTTTCTGAGACATAGATGTATGCTGAGTTGCAGTAATTCATTCACTCTAAATGTGATAGTCATTAATATTGCATAATTGCTTTAAAAACAAAATAAAATTCATAAATCAATTATATATATCCATTAATTAAATTATAACACATTACAATCATGAGTTTCTATTGAATTGAGACAATAACAACAGGCGGGCCTAACTCTCAATGAGACAAAGAATGGACAATGGGCTTAAATAGTTTATTATAAGGGTAAGGATTTCGAAGTTTAGTCCCGAAACTTTTCTACCCTATAAATTCATGTTATTTTAACAAACAAAAGGAAATTTTTAAGATTGCTATTTATTAACAAACACCCTACTCAAATTACTGCTATTAGCACTTCAAAATCGTAGGCTTTGTTTGCACTGAGCCTTGACAGAGAAGCATGGATGGCTACAGTATTTCTCTTGTTAAAAAAAAGGGGGGGCCCGCTCTATCCCGAGTTCCATAGCAAGCTTTTGTTGGCTTTTAATAAAGTATCAATATATGGGACTAGACTGAATTCGAACCCATCCTTCACGGCAATAGACGTACAATTAGATGTTAAATTAGGGAAAACATTATAAAAATTTACGAAATTTAATTAACGAATGCAGTTGAGTCAAATTTTTTAAAGTTGTAATCTATAAAATCGTTTTTGATATAATAATTTCTATATTATAACACGCAGAATGAACATGTTGGAATTATAGAATAGCATTCTTTCTTTCTTTATTTATTATACTTACTGTGTTATATTTAAATAGTAACATTTCTAAATCATTTTTNGTAAAAACTAATTATTAAAATAAAATTTATAAATTAAATTATTTATTGATTGACATGCAATTGAAAGAAAACATTAAAATATAAATAATATTAATATATTTTATCGAAGATAAAGCAAGTCTAGACTGTAGAGTCTAGACGTGTTTATTAGTCTAGTAACAAAAACGTAGTAGTATAGAGTAGACACGATTGGAGCATGCGTTCTATCGATTCTGAACGTGTTACTCTTAACAACTTCATGTTCGCTTTACTCGATCGAGAGAAAGCGATGGAATGGGATAAAGCGAAAGTAATCAAACTTATAGAAGAATTCAGAACTAGACCCGTATTATGGGATGTCACTTTGAAAGAATATAAAGATAAGAACTTAAAAGTGAACGCATTAGAGAATTTGAGTGTATTGTTTCAATGCCCCATAGAAGAGATTGAAAGGAAACTTTTTAATCTCAGAACTCAATTTAATAGAGAACATACCAAGGTTAACAAGAGCAGAAAAATAGGAAATGCGATGGAAGTGTATAAACCTAAATGGTTTGGTTACGACATGTTGAAATTCCTTATAATGATGAAAGAGATACGTAAAAATCGCTACGGTCCAGTAGTTGTAAGTATTAAAAATCTGCTATTAAGTAACGATAAACGGATAAAGAAAATTTATAACAGTCAATAACGCGTCTTTGTCAAATTGACGTAAGAATATGCATCATCTTAACCGAACGAACAGATTCAATAATTGTCAAATCTTTTAACTTTTAATAAATGGAATTTTAAGAACTGCATTTAATTTTAATTTTAATTTCAGACTATCGTATTTATAATTATCGGATTTTTATTGGCTTGGACTCCGTACGCGATTTTGTGTATGTGGACTGTTTTCGCAGATCCTTCGACGGTTCCTTCATTTTTGACATTGCTTCCACCACTTTTTGCTAAGGCTTCTACCGTTTTTAATCCGTTCATATACTTTTTTACTAATCCTCACATACGAATTGGAATGAAAGCTACTCTCCAATGCTGCAAAAATGTTCCGGACGAAATGTTCGAACTTTCAAATTCACCGGAGTGTATTCGAGTCACTCAGGAAGAATAACATTATATTGATTGATCAGCACGAAATTATTATTAAAAATAATCGAAATTAAATAACAGAAAATCGAAGAATACATTTTAAAAAGACGAAAGTCATAAAAAAACGCAATTTATAGNTTTATTTATTATACTTACTGTGTTATATTTAAATAGTAACATTTCTAAATTAAACTTTTAAAATAATATTACTCATATAATTGGTTACTAAATACATTTAAAATTAATTTTTTTATTTAAATTTTTTTTATGTAATTAAAACAATTTATATAAGAAATTTTGATTTTGATTAATATTTATTTTTTGATTGTAAACATGTACGAGAGTCTATAAACATATTATATTAATTTTTAAAATTTGCATTAATTAGAAATACCTCCGATAGATGGCAGAAACATATTCCAAAAATAAATTTAGTAAACGAAATAGATTTAAAAAGAAATTAATCTCATTAAATAAATATACTGTATATTTAAATTATAAAATATTTATCATATGCATATATATTGTATTTATTAATAATAATAATAATATGCATATATTTATATTTATATAGTATTAGCCTATATTTTTTATTACTGTAAGAAAATGAAAAAAAATGTCGTCATTTTAAATTATTTTCTAATAAATATATTTAATTAGGAAATGTATAAAAATAAATATAAATATACGATTGATAAATTATATTAAATTTAAAGTTTGTTCGATTGGTTGAGATGATGCACATTTTTTTACGTAAATTTGACGTCATTCTGTAGAAGTCCCAATTATAAAACTGAAAAGACGACGTCAAATTGACGTAAGAATATGCATCATCTTAACCGAACGAACAGATTCAATAATTGTCAAATCTTTTAACTTTTAATAAATGGAATTTTAAGAACTGCATTTAATTTTAATTTTAATTTCAGACTATCGTATTTATAATTATCGGATTTTTATTGGCTTGGACTCCGTACGCGATTTTGTGTATGTGGACTGTTTTCGCAGATCCTTCGACGGTTCCTTCATTTTTGACATTGCTTCCACCACTTTTTGCTAAGGCTTCTACCGTTTTTAATCCGTTCATATACTTTTTTACTAATCCTCACATACGAATTGGAATGAAAGCTACTCTCCAATGCTGCAAAAATGTTCCGGACGAAATGTTCGAACTTTCAAATTCACCGGAGTGTATTCGAGTCACTCAGGAAGAATAACATTATATTGATTGATCAGCACGAAATTATTATTAAAAATAATCGAAATTAAATAACAGAAAATCGAAGAATACATTTTAAAAAGACGAAAGTCATAAAAAAACGCAATTTATAGGAATTTATTATATATTTTTTTAACTATGTATTTTTAAATTTTATCTTATTTAGAAAATATTTCATAACTTTAGTATTAGATAGCTTTTTTTAATTCGTTATTTGATATATGTTATATTTTGCTATTTTATTTCCTCAATATATGTTATATGTAACACGATGCCCGTCGAAGAACGTAAAGGACAAAGATAAATATTACTTTTAAGTAATTAAAATTGTAACTAAATATTAAGTAATAAAAATATATATTTTTTTCATTTTTCTAAAATTTTAATATCATTAAACTTAAGGATTAAGTAACACATATTTAATTTAAGAAATTACATATCACAACGATAATAAAATATTGTGTAATCATATAACAAGGAAAAAAATTAAAAGATAAATGTAAAAATTACATTTTAAATATAGTAGGCCCTCGATTTAACGCACTAATTGAGGGAAAAGTATGTTCCACTCTTGTCAAAAAGACTTAAATCGAATGTAGTTTAAAAACAGATTTTAATCACGAATCTAAAAATGCGCATTAACAGTGACTAGACTATTTACTTACAAGTTAATGAAGGAAAAGGATTGTCAAATATGTGACAAGGTCACAGTGCATTACCAAAAAAGGGGATCTTGATCTTTTTTAAAACGTTCAGAATCCCAACCGACATTGGCGGATTATCCAATAAGTATACTAGGGCCTCGTCATCTCGAGGGGCCTCAAACATTAGGCTATATAGCAAAAAGATAAAATGCCTGTAAAAATTTAATGAACGTTTAAAACTCTGTTGTTATTTAAAAAGTTGTTGTTATTTAAAGAGTTTTATTGTCTTTTTAATATAAAAAAACACTTTTACATAAAGGCCTTATAACAAAATTGCGTCTAGGGCCTCTGAGGAACATAATACGCTACTGCCAACCGTGGAAAGCGCATTGCTGGCGCCAAGGTACTGTATATGAAACGATCTGTACAATGTACAGGATGTATAATGTTACTATGTATAAGTATGAATAAAGTATTAATATAATGTATATCAAAGTAATATATAGTCATTGACTTATCGACCTATCCTTTTAGCCTGTTCTATTGGCGAATTAAAGAAATTTTATGTGTATTAGGCTAAATCCAAAGTATTGGTAAATCGGGGTCCGTTAAAACGAGGACCTACTGTATTTAAGTTGATGTAATTGTTCAAATCTTCCTATAAATTCAGATTTAGAATAGTAAAAACTAATTATTAAAATAAAATTTATAAATTAAATTATTTATTGATTGACATGCAATTGAAAGAAAACATTAAAATATAAATAATATTAATATATTTTATCAAAGATAAAGCAAGTCTAGACTGTAGAGTCTAGACGTGTTTATTAGTCTAGTAACAAAAACGTAGTAGTATAGAGTAGACACGATTGGAGCATGCGTTCTATCGATTCTGAACGTGTTACTCTTAACAACTTCATGTTCGCTTTACTCGATCGAGAGAAAGCGATGGAATGGGATAAAGCGAAAGTAATCAAACTTATAGAAGAATTCAGAACTAGACCCGTATTATGGGATGTCACTTTGAAAGAATATAAAGATAAGAACTTAAAAGTGAACGCATTAGAGAATTTGAGTGTATTGTTTCAATGCCCCATAGAAGAGATTGAAAGGAAACTTTTTAATCTCAGAACTCAATTTAATAGAGAACATACCAAGGTTAACAAGAGCAGAAAAATAGGAAATGCGATGGAAGTGTATAAACCTAAATGGTTTGGTTACGACATGTTGAAATTCCTTATAATGATGAAAGAGATACGTAAAAATCGCTACGGTCCAGTAGTTGTAAGTATTAAAAATCTGCTATTAAGTAANCTGTAGAGTCTAGACGTGTTTATTAGTCTAGTAACAAAAACGTAGTAGTATAGAGTAGACACGATTGGAGCATGCGTTCTATCGATTCTGAACGTGTTACTCTTAACAACTTCATGTTCGCTTTACTCGATCGAGAGAAAGCGATGGAATGGGATAAAGCGAAAGTAATCAAACTTATAGAAGAATTCAGAACTAGACCCGTATTATGGGATGTCACTTTGAAAGAATATAAAGATAAGAACTTAAAAGTGAACGCATTAGAGAATTTGAGTGTATTGTTTCAATGCCCCATAGAAGAGATTGAAAGGAAACTTTTTAATCTCAGAACTCAATTTAATAGAGAACATACCAAGGTTAACAAGAGCAGAAAAATAGGAAATGCGATGGAAGTGTATAAACCTAAATGGTTTGGTTACGACATGTTGAAATTCCTGATAATGATGAAAGAGATACGTAAAAATCGCTACGGTCCAGTAGTTGTAAGTATTAAAAATCTGCTATTAAGTAATGATAAACGGATAAAGAAAATTTATAACAGTCAATAACGCGTCTTTTTTTATTTTATTTTTTAAAATTTATATCGTGTATAAAATATTTAACATAATAGAATAAAATAGAATGTTAGAAAACTTTTCGATTTATAATATAGTACGAACATGTTTGTTATAACATGCAACGCTTTTAAGAGATAGGAAAATCTTATTTGTTTAAGTAACCTTTGGACTGTATGTTATAGATGTTAAACGACAGATGCATTTAGTTTAAATTGTGTTACTTAAAGGAGAAATTAGATCGGAAAGGAAAAGGTGTTTGTATACATTATCGCCCGCATTTCCGCTTTATAACTGAGTTTTATATCTCTAACACGCAATGTTATTGATGGAACGACAACTGTTTCCATACGTGACACTTCGCTTGAGTATGCGCGACGTAACGTGATAAGCTTGAAGGTTATTGGTATTGGTGATATAAAGCTTATTTCATAAATATGCTTTTATCGTATCTGTATACATTCTGTAACAACACAAAGAATAACAAATCCCGTATCCTTTCAATTAAATTAGTCACGATTAAAACAACATAGCAATAAATAATTACTGTATAAATATATTAGTTTACAGTTTGGATTTTAATCTTGCTATTTTTAATTCTTTAGGTTTCAGAGAAAGTCGAGCATTTGAGAATTGAAAATGTGGAAGAGCATCCTTCTATTTCTTTCGTGCAACTTAAACAGGAAACTGAAGAGGAAACGGATAAGATAGAGGAGAGAGAAGAGTTGATAATACCACTCCAGAAAAGTAAAAAGAGGAAAGTAACAGAAAATTCAGAGAATAACGAAACCAATCAATTTTTCAAAAAAATTACGGATAAACCTATTGGCTATCAAGACGAACATACGATTTACGGACAATCAATTGCTAGCAGAATTAGAAATTTGGGAAATAAATATTGTCAAGCATTGGCTAGAAATAAAATTGACAATGCTATTTTCGAAATCGAAATGTTAATGTTTAAATAAAGATTTATTTTTTTCTTTTTATAAACTGAAAATTTTCATATCTCTAGCATAAATTTAAAAGTACATTCACTGAACAAAATCGAAACTACATAAAATCTATAATTTTTTTTTTATATATAAAAACATTTATCAAACTAAAAATTGTATAAACTTTAACAAAAAGTCTGATAAGAATTGCTGACGTTAGCAATTCAGCTGAGACTTTTTGTTTTATAAATAATTCCATTCAATTTGATCCATCCGTGTATGAAGAAGTTATTTATTCTTTATGAAACTGTAAAAAATACAAAGTTTATCGTAAAAAATTATAATTTAAAATATAAAAAAACAAATATTTTAAATAAATTTCTAGACACAACACACATTACTGTACAGACATTAAATAAGATGTCAGTTTTTTCTTAACTTCTTTTTATTTTTTAAAAAAATTTTATTAACTTTTATCGATATATTTTTTTCTTTATTTTATAGAAAATCGTTATAATTCCGGAAAGTAATTTTTCTTAATAATATTTGACACAAATACTTTAAAAATAGAAGACGGCGATTATTTTTCTTATTAAAAATAAAACGAAAGATATTTATTTTTTAGTGATTTTTGTGTTATCTAACCTAAAATAAACCGATAACCCAACGTTCAAATATAAATTTTTAATTTAATTTATACAAAATTTAATTAAATATAATTTAAAATTTAATTAATATATTGAAACGACAGATGATAATATTATATACAGTCTGTATATAATAAATATAGAAAATATTTGAAAGAAAATACGTGCATTTTAATGATTATAAAAAAAATAATCGAAAATTTGATAAAATAAATCAAGCTTTAAAAATAAAATATAAATGGATAAACATAAAAAAATCAGAATGTATAATTTTAAATGTATTTGAAAATTCTAAAGATTATTTATGATGTGAAATCTCTGGAGAAATTTGCTTGGTTGTAAATATTTAAAATACTTTTTTAAATATATTTTTTAAAATATTCAAAATCAATTATAAATAATTTAATATTTTTTTCTTTTATAAGAGAAGAACATCTTGTTGATATTCATAAATTAATTTATTAATTTCTGGATAATTTGGCTATTCAGAAATTATCTATAAATTAGTAAATTAATTTATAGATAATTTAGTACAGGATGTAATTTAATCAGAGACAATAATATTTAACTGTTTAACGTAATTCAATGGGAAAAATAGAAAAAAAATATGATTCGTACAGTTCATATTTTATCTTAATGTAATGATATTTTCAATAAAATCGATAGAAATATTTAAAAAATTTTTTTAAAATATTTCGGCATGTTACGGTATTAAGTTTTTGTATGCGGAATATTTAAAAATATGTTGTAATAGGTTTATATGTAAGAGAATTATATTTATATCGAACTTGATAAATATTAAACATTTCAAATTCAACAAATTCAGTAAATAAATTCATATCAATATTAAAGCAAATTCCAGCGATCGCTAATGTGATGCTTCGTAGCAAGTCACTAGAGAATGAGAGAAAGCCGGCATTAAGTTAAGACGAAGATAAATGTTTATACTTTAATATAATACATAATTTCACATGAATAATTAGTTAGCCATTTGATAAATAAATATTCCGACAAAAATTTAATACGCGGACATTAAAAGCCGTCTCTGTTACATCATAAAATATTTTTTTCGGTTAGTGAAAAATATATTATCGTTTATAAACATTTTCAAAATTCTAATATTATAATTAATACTTTTTACGTAATATAATAAAAAAGTAAGACGTCTAAAATAATAAAAATTAAAATATTTCGAATTTCGAATATGTATGTAAATATATTTTTTCGAATTTAATTTATTAAAGCATAAAACTGCGCGAATATGACGTTAGGTGTCGTTGCACAGGATGACGTATGTAGTGGGAGGCTGTTTCCGTCGAGTGATGTAGTGTGTACGTCGTGTATCGTGATGCAGATTATCAGAGGCGATTTAGTTATTTGAATAATTTTTTTAGTGCATCTTTGGAGTCTTTAAGTATCGCACGAGTGTAAAATTACTTTCCATGACGTGTTTGGAGTATGGGTGTGTGTTTCAGTTGTTGCCTGGGTGACGACCACAGGTATTTTTCCCATCTTTTATCATTATCCATCGTTTCTTATTGTGTATAAATTTTCAATTTCTAACAATTAATAATGGACAGATCGGTGTGTAAACAATACAAACAGACCTACAATTCACTACTAAACAGTGCAACATTTAAAAACAATGTAATGATCCAGTTAAATTTTATGAAGCAATAAACATGTGTCAAGTATATATTAAATATACATTTCATATTCAATTCATTTTTTCTATCAGATCAACAGTTGATATTTAAGAAACAGATTTATTCAACATTTAAAACACCATAATTAAATTCACATTTGATAGTTTGTTAACCACATGTAAGTAAAACATGTCAACAATTATTTAAAAATTGATAAATTTACACACATTTAATACTTTCTGGTGGTGGATTACCCAATAGGTGCATGCCTTGGGCCTCGTCGTCGCAAGTAGCCACAAAAACTACATAGCGAAAAGATAATATGCCTCTAAGACTAGTAAACATTTAAAACATATATTATATTAAGAAAAACTTATTATTTAAGGATTTTATTTAACGAAATTGTGTCCAGGGCCTCAAAGGCACGTAATCTGCAACCGCCTACTGGAGTAAAAATGTGCACGTAGAATGCACAATGTAGGGCTTAGTGGTAGTGAAAATATTTAGAGGGGCCTCGAAATTGAATTGTGCCTGGGACCTCTTGAGTGCTAAATCCACCACTGATACTTTCATAAAAAATAGAAACTTGATCGTGGCATACAGAACTTTATGTGTAAAGGTTGACCCAAGTAGTTCAATATAATATAGATTTATTTATAGTTTTAGAAATCTATAATGGTAATAAGAATATTTGTGTGTTTTTTTTTTTTTTATAGATTTTTCTTAATTTTTGCCATTATAAACCGTATTTGAATTTATTGGTACAAAAATAAATGGGGAAAATTTATTTTGTTCTTATTTTAATTCTTTGGCAAACTGTAAAGGTCATTAGAGCATTGTATATTGTTTAAAATATGTCAAAGGCAGTTTGACATATTTTACCCTTTTTAAAGATTGATGATTGTTTACATATTAAAATATATTGAATATTTCATTAATGTATATGGAAAATATTTTTAGAAGTGAAGCAAATTTTAAATAAATAAATAAATGTGTGTTGTATTATTTGCTTTTGAAAGATGTAAGTAATCATGTGTTGGAAAATTTAAGACATTTTTATTACAAGAAATCTAATAAATAATTTAGAATAAGCTACATAAAAATTCATTTTTTGGTGGTCATATGAGATGTTTCATTTTGAGGTTTAAAACAGAAATCAATGAACTAAAAATATTTTAAATTTCTATTTTGTCTAATAATAGCTATCATTCACCATTCCTAGAACAAATTTAATAAGGAGATAGTTGTTTGTTGTAATTTAATCAAGAATTTTTAATCTTTGTTTGGATCTATTTTAAAAATGAATTATATTAATCATTTTTATTATCATAAACTCCTAAAACAAAAAACTAAAATTTTATAAATAACAACAACTCTGATTAGATGATAATATAACACAGTAATTAATACAGAATTATTTCAAAGTTCTAACACGGAAAAGTCTAGAATAAAGTAATTTCATGTAACTCGTTAACTTCGAATGAAGTGTATAATTGTTATTTTGTTTCATGTGTGTAAAGTACAGTTTAGATATAACTATTAGAAGAAAATTACATACAAATCAATCTCTAAAATTTCTAAATTTTCTTCATGTTGTTAGTTTCTAAAATTTGCAAGGCTTACAAACTTTAATAAAATGTAAATATAAAAATAGATTTCCCTGCTTTGAAAGTTAATGAAATAATTTTTTGTTTTTACATTTTTTCTTAAATAATATTAAGTGATATGTGATTTTATTATTTTATATTTTTCATTAAGGTTTTTGGATTTAGTCTTCATTAAAATTGAAATTTTTGGAAAGTATATAACTAAAAATTTCTGCTTTATAGAAAATATATGACTATTGTAACATTTTTTAATGAGAAATGATTTTGTAATAAAAGAATTTTAATATAATTTTATTTGTGAATTTTTTTTTTATGATGATGATATGAAATATTTATAGAAGCTGAATTTAAGAAAACCCTATTTGTTTGAATATTATATTTGTTGTTTTTTGTTGTCTAATTTACATAAAAATTACATTTTAAATAAGTAATAAAATTTACCATATTGCAAAATATCCCACAATGTGATATATAGATAAGAAGGAAATTGATTTTCATTATTTTATCATAAAATGTATAATATACAAAATTATTTTGGGACTATTCTTCCTCAAGTGCTGAAATATTGTCAAAATGAATTTTTTAAATAGAATGGCCTTAGTTGCATGTTTTCAGATCTTTAAAAATGCCTTTAAAAAATTATTAAAATATAAACTTATCTTTTAATAATTTTTTAATATTTGATATCTTTGAAGCAATAAATTTTTTGTCATAAACATTTATATGATGGTAATATAATTAATATTAAATTAAACTTGAAAAGTGTCACATTTTCTGATATTATATATAAAATTAATTTAGTATTTTTATTCCATTTAAAAAAATTTTTACACGGAGATATTTTACACACTTTAACACATCATATTGGTTTTTATAAATTAATATACCATTTCATTTTCAAAAAAAAAAGATAACAAATTCAAGCAGGTTTATATTTAAAATTAAAATGTAAATTAAGGAAAGTATAAATTATGTCAAATTTAAAATTTTTAAAACATTTAAAAGAATTTAACTAGAATTTGAAACATTTTAATAATTTTTACTTTTGGATTCTGTACTCGAGTATTATAAAGCTGTTTTTTGTTTTAAAAAAATCTTAAATTCATAAGTTAAAAGAAAATTGAATTGTGAAACTTTTTTTTAAATTTTAAGTTTTTTCTAGTTTTATATGTATTTATATTAAACTTTGAAATTACTTTTTGTATTTGTAAATTTTTAGGAACCATTCTTGATAACGATGATTTAAAATACTTCAAATTTAAAAAAATTTTTTATAATGTATAAATTGATATTGAATTAAGTAATACATTATTTATAGATTATTATTAATTATTAATGCAAATGACATTTTAATTTAGAATATTTTAAATTTTATTTATTATTTTCTTTTTCAAAATAACCTAAGCTTGAAATTGAAAAATGTTTTGAATATTAAAAATTTTAAATGTTAAATATAACATTTAACCAGTTTGAACCAGTATATATACAGTAGACATATGCAAACTTTAATATGTTCTGCAATTTTCTTAATTCTTACAAACATTTATAGTAGTACTAATAATGTATTAATTTGGTTATACAAAATCTCTAGAATGAGGATAATTTACTAAAAATCTTTTTTAAGAAGTTAACCAGTTTGAATTGTTCTGTAATCTTCATATTTAATCAAATAACAATTACAATTTTTTCATCTTTCTTGTTATTTCTTAATATAGATGTTAGTTTACAATCTATTTCTGACAATTCCGAACATTCAAAAAACCAATATAACATCAAATAAACTTTTGATTTACAAAATGGGCATTCTTATTGCTCATTTAATCGTGCATTGATCTTTTCCAAAGACAGAAAAAAAAGTTATTTAGTCTGATCTGTATATAACTTTTTTCAGTCAAAATTGATAGATCTGTTATAAATTATTGGAGGATCATTGACATTTAATATCTTCAGATATCATTTGTAAACTTTGAATTTATAATTTTATTCTCATCCTTTCTGCATAAATACTACTGATAATCAGTCAATATTTTCTTGATATTTAAATATTATCCATGTACATTTCTAGAAAATTCAATGAATAGTCAATAACATTCAAAATATTATGAAAATTTATGTCTAAATTGAAGTAGTTTTAGAAAATTTGTTAAAATAATTAAGTATAATTTAGCAGCAAAAAATAGTTCATATAAAATATAGTTTTCTTACCATTTTTGTAGATGTTCTCATAGATTTTTTCTTATAGCATTGAAACCAAACATTGCTTTGTTCAAAAGAAAATGGCAAACAACATTCCTGTTGAATTATATTGTTCAACAAATCTTATTCCTTTGTGTGTAGACAGGTATATTTATTTAGAAATACATTTGGGTATACTAAGTTAGTATCATTCAATTATCAGTACTTTTGCTGCAGCAGCCTTGATCATTCTACAGTTTTATAGTATGATTAAGCTACAACAAAGCATTAAAGGAAGTTTGAAAAAGAAAAGGATTTTGATGAATTATATTAATCCCCAAAAAAAAGTACATAAAAAGATGAGGCTCCCATAATAATCAGAATAAATTAGATTTAACTTCTTAGTCATTGTAGACTTATTTAGATCAGTAGATAAATTGCTATGGAAAGCTATGATACTTAGTATTGTTGTGATTTAACAAATATTTTTTAATTTCAGAATACAAAAGAAAAGTTAACTTATGAGTAAATATCAAAATAAATTATAGTCAAATTTGATTAAAATTGTTTCTTGCAATAAGAATTGATGTCTGAAAATTATTGTAATTATTTAAGATTAGGGATAAATATAGTACAGGGGTGGCCAAGCTTCTTGATAGTCCGAGCCATTTTTCAAAATTTGAAATTTTTCGCGAGCCGCAATTAAATACGTATTAAAAAGGTATGCAAAAAATTCCAGAATTATATCCGTAGCAAGAGTGATACAAATTGTTTCTTCCAGAGCACAATGTCAGCTGTCCATTGCAATGACAGTTTACAAATTCAAAATCGGTCTGGAGTCGGTCGATAACGGACGATTACGCCACTGTTTATGTTCGTTCGCGCAGTTCTCGATGAGTCATATCGTTCTTAACTTGGACGGAAATGAAATTTGTTACAACATTGCACTTAATCTTTCATATTTGTTGTTAGTAATTTAAAAGACATTTTGAAACACATACGGAACAATAATAATTTTTTAAAATATAATAACACAAAAATGAAAAGGGAACTCGGGTACATTTATCGAGAGCCACAAATAATCATTCAAAGAGCCGCATGCGGCTCGTGAGCCGCAGGTTGGCCACCCCTGATATAGTACTTCAAGTTAGGGAACTTTGAATGATTTAAGTTGATTAAGAACTCTCAAACATGAATCCAACTCAAATTGTTTTTTTGAAAAATTTTGAAGATTTCTATTCTAAAAAAAAGGCAATTTAGATTGGCTTGATTAATTTTTTTCACAAAAAAATATTATAATAATAATCTTAAATGCCATAATTTCCAGTATATAACCTGCACCAGTGTTTTATTTAGCCTTCAGAAAATTGCTAGAATGAAAATAAAAAAGCTGCATAACTCTATTTGAAAATGAGTTATGCAGCATTTTTATTTTCATTCTAGCAATTCTAGCTCACTTTCAAAAAAAGTCTATTTGAAAGTGAGTGATACTTTCAAATAGACTTTTAAACACATAATCTGCAAGAATTTATGGTAACTTGTTAATACTAAGAGAAAAGTTTATTAACAAAGTTTAGTGGCATAATTAGAAAATTTATTAAAATTTTCTGTTTTATATGGTAATTAGATAAATGTTAGATAATTTTTTTTTATATTCTGTTTCTACAGTGTTTTTTAAATGGCCTTAAGGACCTCATTTTATGTAACGTTATGTAACTTGCCCGAGATATCTCGGGATATGTCCTTAAGGGGTTTAAATTAATTAATTTATGGTAAAATTAAATTTAGGGAAATATGAAAATAACATTACTTTTGAAAACTTTTATCAAAAGTAAAAATAATTAAAAATGATTGTGTTAATAACATTTAATATTTTTTTGTAATTTTGAAATTTAAATTTTTTTTATTTTTTAATTTGTATACATGTTTTTTTCTCTTTTTTCAGGAAGTACAAGAGAACCAGGGTTTTTAGCACTGAAAGTCTTATTGAGGTAATCAACATTTTTCAGTTAATGAATAAGTATATTGTTAATGTAGACAAAGTGAAAAATTTTTATCTGTTTATTGATTGCTTAAATTTTTTACTAATGTTACTGAATTGTTGTTGAAAGTTCAGTAGATTTCATATTATATCATATAAAAGCTACATTGGTGTTATTCACTTGCATAAAATGTTTGAGTACAAATAGATTTTTACAGAATAACAAAATAGTGAGAATTTTCTCAGAAAAATTTGAAATCTAAAAAATTTAAATATTTTGGATATTAAATAACATTTTTATGGTTGATTATTAAGTTCCTTTTCTATATTTTTGAAATTGTTGATTATCATTAATTTGCAGTTCACATTATTTGAAGTAGTATTTTCTTTTCATTTATCATTGATTACTGTTAATAAAAGTTTTTGATATGTATTTATTTACTATTAAGTATATATAATATATAATGCTAATATTATCTACAGAGAATTGTTAGCAATTACAGAAAATAGTGTAGTTCAAATAGAATTGTTCCCTTTCTAGATAGAATTCTATTTGCATTATACTATTTTCTGTAATGTGACCCTGAGCCTTTGGATTTTGAAGGTTGAGCTTTGAAGGCTTAATTATGATTCTTCCAGGACTGTGAATTGTATTAAATTATTTTAAAATTATTCAAAATTTTTTTTAATAATTAAATTATTCATAATATGAACTATATAATGTTTCACTAAAAATTTTATATGAAACTTATTTTAAAAACACATATTAATATCATTTAAATGAAATGTTCATACTTACTCTGTGAAATCCCATGATGTACAGTATAGTACTGTACATGCATAATAACAGCAGGTATCTTTAACTATCATAATGACAGCAGCTAGCTTTAAATATGTAGTAGAAATTCTGTTAAATCAGGTCTCTGGAGCTATTTATCAAACTTAATTTTGACATGAATTGTCAAGAATTTTATGACTTTGTCAATAGATTTGAGAAACTACAAGTTGAACCTTAAATGTGCAATAACTAATAATAAATATTCCTAGATGTTTGAATATTTCTTAGTAATATTAATAAAAATAAATAAATTTTATGATTGTACATTTTTTTCATTAATCACAAAACATTTTGACAACTGTTAGCTTTATGACAAACATTTTTTAGTTCCACTTTGTCTTGGAAACAGATTAGATTTTAAATNAGGTTAACAGGTAAATGTGTATCTCAACATCTTAATTAAATTTTAACTTTTTATCTTAACCAGGTTTTACTAAACTAGCTAAACCAGTAATAAAGCATTTTTCCTACCTTTTCGAAAATAAATTTTCAGAAATGTTGGTATTAATTACTTTGAAGTTTTTAAAAATTTTTATTAGATTTTTTTTTATGTATTCTATCTAATCTGCAATCTTCCTAATTTTGTTTAGTTTAATATTTATTGCAATTTATATAATGACAAACATTTTTTAGTTCCACTTTGTCTTGGAAACAGATTAGATTTTAAATAAGTATTTTTAATTAGTAGTTTAATTAAATATTTTTGAAGTATTAATTCTAATTTCATATTAACTTGATAAAATACTAATACGGAATTGATGCAGTTATTTTCTTTTTGCAATTTTTTAATAATTATCTAAATCAATATGAAAATCTTTGACTAGAGTTCAATTACTGAAAAAAGGAAAGATACAGTATTTTAATATATTTATTCTTCAGTATATGGTTTATATTATAGAACACTTTGAACACCATAATATTACAGTTGACTCTTGATAAGTCAAATTTCATTAAGTTGAAAAAATAAAATTTGACTTAACATTCCTGTTTTGTTCAATATATAACCCAAAAATGCAATGTGTGTATAAGTAAATAGTTTTGATACCCTAAATTTTCAGTTATGAAAACATGCTATCAATTAATTTGTTTTTGGTATAATTTATATATAATTTATGGTATTAATTTAATTTTGTGTTTGAAAATAAAACATAAAATACACAATATCAAGGGGCCACATTACAAGAAACTTGAAATAAAAATAAACATTAAGACAAAGCAGAACAAACATACCAAAAAATCAGCAAAACTATAAATTCTTTACTTAAGTGTTTTCTTCCATATATAATAGACATTGTCAGTTTAACAGAATGTAGAAATAGAACAATAGATTGAAAACTAGAACAGAATACTTTAAATTAGAATTTAAATGTGATTTAAGATTTGTGCATGACTATTATGCTTTACTTCTAGTTTTAGCCAGTATCTCTGTATCTGACTTTAAAATAAACATTTAATTTATGTATACTTGAAGAAATATAAAGTTACAAATGCATGTATCTATAAGCCTTTTACTGGTGTGATGTACCTTTTTATAGATACGTGCATTTGTTACAGTACTCCGGTGTAGATATTCTACCATTATATGAAGTTACTTGACATAATAGCACCTCTGAATCAGTGACATCAAAAATACAGAAAATTTAAGGAAATTTTACATCTAAAGTAACAGCTTTATTTTTAAATGCAAATTAGGCAATAAAATATATATAGCATCCTATTTTTTTAAAAAATTTTCAAAGGTGCCTTTGGTAGTACATTGTGCATAAAAGAAGAAATTTTGAGGTAATTGAGCATATCCAAATCATTGTTCAGCAAGAAGCAATGAATGATTAATGATATTTTCACATAAAAATTTCTTTCACTAATAGTATGAATACTTTATGTTTATACGTAAGAAATAAGAACATTGTCTCAAAATATTATGATGAAATTAACTTATTATTTGTACAAAGTAATGGTAATTTACATAACTTGAAGTTTTGTTAATTCAAAAATTTCTTAACTGTGTATGATTATTTTTAATTAATGAGAAAAATTAAAAATTATTTTGCTGTTATATGTATTATAATGTTGTATTACCATGTGACGTATTTTCACGTGATACTTAGGTCAATTGATACACCAGATGTATTATAATGTTGTATTACCATGTGACGTATTTTCACGTGATACTTAGGTCAATTGATACACCAGATGTATTATAATGTTGTATTACATTATATCATTAGTGTATATTATATCATTATAGTGTATAAAATTACAAGCAATTGCAAAATATTTTATTTTGTTTTTTCCAAGATATGATATAATAAGGTGGTAACTCTAATTGCAAAATGTGAAATGCCAGGATTTGATCACTAAAAGCAGTTAGGAGTGAACTTCTAATGATCTTGCATAGCTGTTGATGACAATTATGGGTAATTCCATTGAAATGTTCTGAAATAAATTTTTGTAACTTTAAGTTGTGAATAAATGATTGTGAATTTTGAACAACTTACAAAATTTGAAATTGTCTTTTTTTTTGTTTTGGCAAAGTTTTGTTTAAAAAATCTTAAATTGAAAAAGACAATACAGTGAAACCTATTTATCTAGATATTGGCAGGACTGAGTCATTTATGTTGACATAATCATTCTTCTATCAAATCATTTTCAACACCTTACATTAGAACATCTGATATAATTTTTTTATGTTTCAGTTATTCTTTTAATTATATTGCAGAAGGTTTACAAAAATTTATTTTGAAAATAAGAAAACACTAGATATAATTAAAACACATAATTTTAGATGCACTATGTCCTTTAACAAGTGAAAAAAAATTCTTTTTTTTTACTTTAATCTTTTAAATTGTTCCTTTTCAGTTGCATCTCTAACAGTCAATATGGTCAAGATTTAAGTTCATCTCCACTTATCAATAAGATGTATTTTCTAATAATGTCAATGTTTAAAGCTTTCTTTACAGTAGGGGGTGTAATAAGTTCTTTGTTTTCATCATCACTGATTGAGTGGATGTTGATTACAATATCTAAGATTTTTTTTGTTGGTGCAAAGTACAGAACGAAGTGTTCCATTTTTAATGGCAACAGCTTCTTTTTTGAACTCTTTCTGTTGCAATAACTGAGTAGAAATCAGGATCATTATTAGGATTATTAAGATTCATTTAAGCACTTGCATGGCATCTAAGAGGTTTCAAGTTATAATGCTTGCCAGCTTCAAGATAACATAGCTTTTCCTCATGAGCATTTGGTGATAATAAAATTTGAGATTATGAATAATTCTTCTAACATAGAATGAATTAAATAGATCAAATTATAGAAGAAAAATCAGTTTGATTGCTTCCATGCCTTGGACATGTTTACAATTGTACTGCTCATTCATAATTAAGGCTTTCTTATGACTCAGAATTTGATGAACAGACTGGTGCAGCCATGATTTAAACACTGAGATTGTCAACCAAGCCTTTTTGCCTTGTAAGCCAGAAGTTTTGTGTTCTTGAAACATCTTAGCTTTTTGAACTGTAGTTGTGGTAAGTGACTATAGCAATCCACTTGCATCCCCAAAAGGATACAAATAATAATCCAGATGGGTTAAAATAATGTGAGGAAAAACACTTTATGCATATTAGGTATCTATAAATAGTTACGAAATTATTTTTGGCAGAATGGAGATGTATATGTATAGTCATGTTCAGTCTCTAACACATCAAAATGATTGAGACAATAAAAGTGGTCCTATAGTATCTTGACTGGAAGATAAAGCTTTTTCTAGTCCAGTGACATATCATTTGTTTCCATGTATGATAGGGTATTTTTATCTGTGAAGAATTTTCCTATAACAAATAAAATGACCTTATTACTTCTATCTCTAACTTGTGGATACAAATTCACTGAGTATCCACAAGTTATACAAATATTGGCGTGAGTTTTTAAATTTATTTTTACTTCTATCTCTGTTTACAATTATTAGACTAGTTGATTTTTGTTTGCTTTCCTCCAATTATAACATGTCCTTTACGTGTGTAAGTTTTATCTGCAATGTACTTAAGAAATAAAGCTGTTTTGTTGTCAATAAGATAGTTTTCATTTTCTATTTCCAATTTTCTTAATTTGATTTTAGCATTTGCATAAGTAGGCAAAAATGTATGTTGAGACCACAAAACTGAATCCAGGTTAAC